CTATTCTGAACTCACTTCTCAACATATTAACATGAAACTTGTTGTAAAATACTCTAATACATTTATATTTAATTTAAGAATATATTTTGGGCATTAATAGGATTTATTGAGTATAAGGAGGACTAGGGAAAAATAGTTAGTTTTACACATTTTACCCCTCTCTCAATAAAGTAGAATGAATGGTTAATTTACAGAAAAGCTAGTATATAAATTAAGTATTAGTATATCCAACTGTAATAAACAGTTCTCCAGGCTTAAATGTCTGGTTTTGAGGTAAAGAAAAAATTAAAATGAGAGATACAAAGAAAATCCATATTTTGTACTGTATCTCACTCAATTTTTACTCAATTTTCTTCATTCTTGTTGGTATATGAAAGATATTCTAAAATAATGAATTTAGCAACTTATTCCACACATTTTCGTTGAGTTTTGGCTGAGATATGAGTTTTTTTGTGTTTTGGTACTTGATGTGACAAAAATCATGTGATTTTCATGTGTGACTATATTTATGAAAACGACTGTAAAGGATGATCATTGACATGACCCAAATTAGGATCCGACCGATCCACGGTCACGCGCATGATGATGACCAACGTCTGTCCTCAACATTCACGTCCTCATCCTCTTGAGTTCCAGTAATTAGTCTTAGAATGCTCACCAGACGTCTCATTTTCACATGTGGCGCGTGCAGGAAGAGTGCCAAATTGATTCGTTCAGGAACTCGCTCTCGGATTGCTCGACGGTACTTCAGTGCAGATGTATTACCATCACTAATCTCGGCCGCCTCGCCTGAGTTTGCTGAGAAGAAACAAGCAATGGACGGACTGGTGGAGGATCTCGAGAGTAAGCTTGCACAAGCCCGACTAGGTGGAGGTGCAAAGGCTGCAGACAGAATGCGTAATAAAGGGAAGATGTTACCTCGTGAACGGTGAAGATCTAGTCGTTATTTGGCAGGTTATAACGTTCGTGTATTCACGCATTTCTTCTTGAAGGTTAGCAGTGCTTTTAGACCCTGGTTCACCATTTCTCGAGCTCTCGCCACTGGCTGCACATGGAGTTTATGGAGAAGACATCATTCCCGGTGCTGGAATGGTCACTGGAATCGGTCGCATTTCAGGCAGAGAATGTATGGTCATTGTGAATGATCCTACAGTCAAAGGCGGATCCTATTACCCTCTTACAGTGAGTCAGATTATCTTATCTTGGTTTAAGGAAATGTCTGAAGCGTTGAGATAAGTAGGTCAAGAAACATATTCGTGCTCAAGAAGTTGCAAGGGAGAACCGATTGCCTTGTGTATATCTGGGTACGTCCGCGTATAATATTAGGATACGGCATTTGCTATTAATTAATCTCGCTGATAATTCTGTATTGTCCTAGTCGAGTCCGGAGGTGCTGCGTTACCACATCAAGCCAATGTAATAATTAAATTTCCAATATGCACATAACAAGTTTCATGAACATCAATCTGCAGGTCTTCCCGGATAAAGAGCACTTTGGAAGAATATTTTACAATATGGTGGGTCGTTATATGCTCCTGTAAAACGACATGTTTCGAATTACGCCATATCTTATAGGCACAAATGTCCGCACTCCGGATACCACAAATATCAGTTGTACACGGAATTTCCGTTGCAGGTACAGTACTTTATCGTCGAAAGTCGATTCAAGGACTGACTAGGTATAATAAGGTGGAGCATACGTTCCTGCAATGTCTGATCAAACTATTATTGTCCGTAAACAAGGGCATATTTTCCTTGCTGGGCCGCCTCTCGTACGTGCTGCAACAGGTGAAGAGGTAGACGATGAAACACTTGGTGGCGGCGATATGCATGCTCGGGAGAGTGGAGTCGTCGATTACCTCGTCAGCAGTGATGAAGAGGGCTTGCAACGTGCTAGGGAGTGCGTTGCGGACTTGGGACCAGACATTGGGAAAACAGATGTATTTATTACATTCTGTAATCTTGTAAAATAACTGCTGATTTTCGGATTCTTTCAGGCTACAATAGATTCACAAATAGAATCTCCACTCTACCCCGCATCGGAACTTCATGGAATAGTAGGTACCGACGTTCGTCAAGCCTTCGATATGCGGGATGTGATTGCGCGGATTGTCGACGGTTCGCGTTTCCGCGAGTTCAAGCGCACGTATGGGGAGACAATCGTTACCGGTTTCGCGAAGATCCATGGTTTCCCCGTCGGGATTATTGCGAATAATGGGATCTTGTTCTCGCCATCCGCTCTCAAAGCGACGCACTTTATTGAACTGTGTTCGCAGCGGAGGATACCGCTTGTATTTTTGGTCAACGTTACTGGTAAGCGATCAATTTGATTTGCCTCTGAAACTCATGTTTCACCATCAATCTGACTGAATTTGTACTTGAAAAGGGTATATGGTTGGCTCCAAAGCAGAACGCGGAGGCATCGCGAAGGACGGAGCGAAGATGGTGCGAGCAGTTGCTTGTGCGGACGTGCCAAAATACACGGTCGTTATAGGCGGCAGCTTCGGTGCTGGGAACTACGGTCAGTTTATGTATTTCGTGATTACATACATATGGCTGACTTGATTGTCGATCAGGGATGTGTGGTCGAGCAGTAAGTTTCTAGCAAACAATGACATTTGTTCCTTCTCGATGAACTTCGGGGACTTTGAACAGTACTCGCCTCGATTCCTCTGGATGTGGCCGAACGCCAAAGTATCCGTCATGGGCTCTCAGCAGCTCTCGCAAGTAATGACTACTGTGTCGAAGTACGTAATTCCGTCCGCCGTAGCTACGAGATGTTTCTTTTTATAACTGTTCAATCTGTGTCGTCACTAGGGACCCGGCTCAGCATTCCGCTCTTGCGGCGCAAATTGAATCGCAGTCGATGGCGTACTACTCGACTGCCAGGTTATGGGATGATGGGATCATTCGACCTGTGGATACGCGTGATACGCTGGGGTTGGCACTTGGATTGACGCGCCAGAGCTGGAGAAGAAGAGATGTAGACGGAGAAAGTACGACGTGGGACGGTGCAGGACGTGGATTCGGTGTGTTTAGGATGTAGATGGTAGCAGTACAGGGTCTGATTAGGAGGACCGAATAATAAATGTACTGATAATTAATTCGCTTTGTTCTGAGTGCCTGAGGGCGTTCTAGAGTGCTAGCGCCTTTTGACAAGCGTCTTTGTGTGCCCAGTGAGGCAAGTGGTTCCCACAGCCAAACGCGGTCGCGTCTTGTTACTCTGTTACTCACGGTCTAGCGTAAGCAGATTCCGAAATTTCTATAGGCACATCCTCCTTCTTCTTCGTCCTCATTCCACGACGTTGCTGGCAACAGATCTGTAACAAACTGCTGCCTATTCCCTGTGTACAACGCGCGTCCCAACAGCCTGACTGACGGAAGATCTGGGTGTCGCGCAACCTTTGACCGGCCGTGGCTGTACCGGCGTTGCTGCCATTCTCGTGTACGTGACACCTGAAAACCCGGAGCCTCTGTGGTCTGCCCGTTAGCTCCTTGGGAAATCATCAACGATGGTGCTCGGCTTCGGCTCAAGGTCGACAAAGAAAAAGGGCCAGGGGGCCGACGACAGAGTCGTCCGTACCTCGCCTTCGCTGCCCGAGATGTCCAGCCAGGGCGTCGCCTGGCCGTCCGACCTCGTCGACATGGCCTCTATCCGTCATATGCCACAGCAGGCTGGTGCACCACCAGGCGCGACAAAGGTCTCGTTCTCAGCTCAGGATGGAAATGTTGTTATACCGTTCCATAGACCGTTCCGCGGCTCAATTAGCAGCAAGTCTGCTCCCAATGCGCGTGATACTGTGCGTTCTACGGGAACGATCGCGTCTTTGTATATGTCGCCACCAGGTCATCCACCCTCTGCGTTTGGAACAAGAACACAAGAACGCTCGGGCACACCCCATTCGTCGCGGACGAGACATAGTCATAGTCAGAGAAAGCGCGTCGCCCCTACTTTCAACTTGATGGTTGCGGGGAAGCAGGGGACTGGCAAGGTATATATTTTCGTGTTGTAAAAATAAGCAACATTTGGTTTAAAATATTCGCAACTGTAGAGTTCCCTTCTTCGCCTTCTTGTTGACACGGCGGACATCTCACCTTCCGCCACGGCTGAGCAACGCGCTGCTATGGACCGTTTTCTACGAGACAGTACTAAGAGGACGGATAGGATCGACACGGCTTGTGTGGAGATCTGCGAGTCGCGGTTCGATCGCATTCTGTTGTCTGTCATCGACACGCCGGGGTTAGACTTCCAGGATGGGCATGAACTCAAGTTGGAACGGCAGGTCTCTGGGATTATTAAGTATCTTGACCTCCAGTATGCAGATACTATGGATGAAGTGCGTCTTGTTTCGGCAGTTACCCTATACAGTCTTCCCGAAGCTAAACACCACTTCAGGAATCCAAGGTCGTGCGGAAGAGTAAAGGCGACCAACATGTACACTTGTGCGTCATTTCTCAGCGCTTCTTTCATACTCGGTTCGGCTACAAGTCTGATAATCAAATTAAACAACGCAGATGTATATACATGATTGATCCGGAATCAATTATGACAGCAGCGGAGCGCAAGGCCGCGACTTCAACGCCCTTCCATCTGAGAAGTACGCGCTAGTAGTTTTTTGATCCGATTTTTGTATATGTTCCTGACATGTTACGATGTTGCAGTTTCTGCGATGGAGAACAGCGCCACCAGTGACGAGGATCGATTGAAAATGGATCCTACGGACCTGCGAATTATACGCCGACTTTCTGAGCGTGTGAATGTACTTCCAGTCATTGCGCGCTCAGATCTTTTGACAGACGAGAAGTTGCATGCGGCGAAAAATGTCATTCGACGAGACTTGTATGATACAAAGCTCGGATTCAGCGTATTTGGGACTCCGAAGGTTGAGGAGGTGCCTGTCGAGTCTGCGCGGCCTTTAAGTGCTGGCGAAAGCGCCGAGACCAATGGGTCTTTGAATGGAAACGGAAGTGGATCACAGACCGATGAGGGTTTCGGGGATGAAGAGAGTGAAGAGGAAGAAAGGCGTGCTCGTCCAGTCATCAAACTTAATCCGAAGCGAAGGCCGTTAACACGCTCAACGTCTCGTTCACGCCTCGAACACGTTGCAGAGGATAAACGCGTCCCCGTACCCCTCGATGCGGCGGATCCAGAAAGTCTCGCGAGTATACGCTTCAGTGCGACGTACCTCGCGCAGCGTACACGACAACTCTCGGACTTGATGCCCTTTGCTGTGATCATGCCCGAACATACGGGACGCGTACGTCGTGCACTGAAGGCACCACCTCTCAGACCCGTGTCAACAGCGTATTCGATGGAAAGCTCAGCGTATCCTCATACACCTGTCACGCAGAATGGGGACGCTGTGGATTTTGCATCGTCAGACGACCAACATGACCGTGGGTCCGCTACGCCGACGACGGCAACGGCACCTGCGACGCTGAAGTCGCCCACTTCGACTGAGAATTTGCCTTACATCGCGGGCCCGCCCAGAGACCTGAAGGGCGTGTTTACGCGTCGGTTTAGGTGGGGTGTTGTGGATGTGCTTGACCCAGATCATTGTGATTTCGCGGCTTTGCGGACTGCTATTCTTTCCACTCATTTCAAGGTGCGTACTCAGACATTCTGGTGAATCGGCTTGCAGCTAACGGATGATGCGTAGGTTCTGAAAACGACGACAAAGGAAGTTCTGTACGAGAAGTATAGGACTGAGAAACTACTCGCTCGACGAGCTACGCGTAATATCAGTGAGGAAGATCGGAAGCGGTTGTTGGAAGGTAAGTTTATACCTGCGTCTACCGTTATCGTCTACCTCCGGGCTAATTCGACGATTGCCGTTCAAACAGAAATGGGTCTTTGATTTATATTCCTTGTATGCTTATACGTGCTTTTCGTTTACCCGGATATCTTTTATATCTTTTACCCCTCAATATCTTGTCTGCATTATCGGTCTCGGCCTTGCCTTTTTCTCATTATTCCCTAACTTTCATGAAATCCGTGTTTTTGGATATACCCGAACTGACTGGGTGACTTCCTGACTAACTCCTCTACACTCCTTCATTACCCGGAGAAAAAGACTATTTTTTTCTTTCTATTTCTCATTTATCTCGGTTTGTCACACCCTCACTGAATACTTTTTGTTTAACTTTTGTGGTCAATCGGTTTGGTTTGTTGACCGATTGCTGACTCTATGTGCCCCGAAATACCTTCGGAGTCACTGATATCTGGTTTGTCTAAGATTGTATATGATGATTACTGTGTTTCCTCTCTTTTTTGACTCTCTTTATTGATTGTGTGGAAATGAATGAATACCGGGGTTCGTCGTTCGTCTATCTATGAATTTGTATGTGTAAGACAGAATAACGTCTGAAGCCGGGCTGGACTTGCCTGGGCGCTGGAGATGTTCGTTAATGAGCTGGCTGTGAGTGTGCATTGCGGCCGCGCGCTTCAGTGTAAGTTCTGGTTCCGTCCGTTGTCGCTTCGAGTCTCACTCACTCAGCACGGCCGTTCTCTACCCTTCTTCGCCTTTGTATAAGTAACTCGACTCCCTTCCTGAGGTCTCTGGCAACAATCACCAACACCAATCCTTCACCATCTCCGACTCCGACAATGCAACAAAACTTCCTCCGCGGTGACCCACTCTCGCTCGATCGTATCCGGTCTACACTCATCCGGCTTGAGGATACCATCATCTTTGGGCTCATCGAGCGCGCCCAATTCGCGCATAATCCCAAGATATACGAGGCTGGTGGGGTACCTGAATTGAAAGAGAGGGTAGGATTTGAAGGGAGTTGGTTGGACTGGTTCTTAGCTGAGATTGAGGGGTTTCATGGTACGTTTCTTGTTTATATTTAACGGACGGGCTTGGTGATCCGGTGAGAGGTTGTTGATGAAGCTGATTTTATTGATCTTGTTTGTTGTGCAGCAAAGGCGAGGAGATATACTAGGTGGGTATATGCACTTCGTAACTGCCTCCGCCCACCACTTTCATTCTAACGCTATTGCAGCCCAGATGAATATCCCTTCACCCCCATCGAATCCCTCCCCCAGCCTCTCCTCGCACCACTCTCCTACCCAAAACTCCTCCACCCGAACACAGTCAACGTCAACCCCTCCCTCAAATCTCTGTACATCCGCTCCATAGTCCCGCGCATCACATCCTCAGCTACACGCGCCCTTGCAGCTCTGCGTCGTGCGCAGGGCATAACGGGTGACCCCGAACGCGAGGACGACGGGAATTATGGGAGCTCTGCAACGCTCGACGTCGAGATTCTTCAAGCCCTATCCAAACGCGTGCATTATGGGAAGTTTGTGTCGGAGAGTAAGTTCCGTGCGAATCCGGGTGCGTTCGTTTCGTTAATAAGGAAGGAGGATAGGGAGGGGTTGGTTGGGTTGATTGAGAAGAAGGAGGTGGAGAGGAGGTTGCTTCTTAGGGTTAGGAATAAGGCGAGGGTGTATGGGCAGGAGGTGGATGCGGATGGGAATCCGGTCGGTCCTGTTAGTCCTGTTAATGGGAACGTAGCGACACCGAATGGGAACGGGGAAGGGAAGATTGACGTTGAGGGCGTCGTGGAGTTGTATGAACATTATATTATTCCGTTGACGAAGGAGGTCGAGGTAAGTGCTGTCTGTCCCTCTCGCATTTTTTGTTCTTTCCTTTGCTTACAGTAACATCTTATCGTGTGTTTGTTTTCTTGTTTGCATTTACAGGTGGATTATTTGTTACAGCGTCTGGACGGGTTATCGGAAGAGGAGGTAGAGGAATTGTGCAAGTCGAAGAAGCAATAATGTAATAGTCGGTAAACAGTCGCAATTTTTTTTGGTAGCTTTCTCCTCCGTGCGTGCGAATCTGTCTACTCAAGCTCTGCGCACGTTCAACATAGAAAAGATCTTTGCGGTCCAACTTACAGCCGGAATGTAGCAGCCAAGCATCACGAGTGCACCAGGTCTCCAAAAGCCCCGAAACATTGAGATTGGTCGAGAGACTAATTATGGCTGAAGTACCTCAGGCAGGCTTGAACTCATGGTTCCCTGACGGCACGCTCTACTGGCATGACGTTGATCCTTTCTTTCTGGTTCTATCTAGAAGGCTGCTTGGACTGATTCTTTCGCCCAGAACTGTTATCGGCCTCTCGGGAATGACTCGTCGGCGTGTCGGGACGTGTGGGTCAAGTATCATTATGACGCCCCAAACGCTACTGCTATTCGTTGTCTTTGCATCATTCAAATCAGTTAATCGATATTCATTCCTTATTGCTAGTGTGCTGGAGAACTCTGGGCCGACTGCCTAAGCCAATGAAGTTCTTATCTTCTATCGTTGGTGTAACTTTCGGACCCCACCCCACCCTAGGATCGACTCGGGGACTGGCCTGGGCTGTATAAATGGATGAGGTGATGGCAATTCAATCGATCTGACTTGTGAAGGACTCTCTCGTCTTTCTCCCTCCCTGCTTCATTCTCGCACCTCTGTCGACCTCTCACCCATTGATCCAATCGTCTCACCTCATCTGTCCAATCTCTTCTTATCAAGCTTCTTCCAAGAGAAAGAGAATATGGCTCCCACTGCTATCTCCCCTTCGCAACCTGATGTCCAGGATTATGATAAGATCCTGTCTGCTAAAGCGAATGGCGCTTTGAACTTGAAGGCTAATGGTGCTGAGTATGCTGACAAGATTCTGGAGGACTATGAGGGCAAGTATCAGTTTGCGCCGATTGAGGAGGCGGAGGTGTCTCGCGCAATGATCAAAAGGTTCGTGTGAATGTATGGATGGTACCATGTTTCGACCATGTCTGACTATGCGTTTGTTCGTTCGTTTGCTTCTCATATACAGGTACTTCACGACAATGTACGAGCGCGCCATCTCGGACGTCGTCATCGTTGGTGCTGGCAGCGCAGGTCTCTCCTGCGCATACCACCTCGCCAAAACGCGCCCAGACTTGAAAATAACCATCCTAGAAGCGAATGTTGCACCTGGCGGCGGAGCGTGGTTGGGTGGACAGCTGATGTCGCCGATGGTGGTGAGGAAACCTGCGGATAGGTTTTTGCAGGAGATTGGCGTGCCATTTGAGGATGAGGGGAACTTTGTGGTTGTGAAACATGCGGCGTTGTTTACGTCGACTATTTTATCGAAGGTGTTGGCGTTCCCGAATGTATGTACCCTCTCCTTCCACACTCTTTCCATTCGAAGTATCCCTAAACAGTAGATCTGTTTTTGGCGGGCATTGACTTATTGATTCAATCTTATAAAGGTCGTGTTGATGAATGCAACGGCCGTTGAAGACCTCATCATCCGCTCTGACTCCTCTGGTTCACAAAGGGTCGGTGGTGTAGTAACGAACTGGACGCTCGTAGCACTCAATCATGACACGCAATCCTGCATGGACCCGAACACCATCACTGCGCCAGTCGTCATCTCCGCTACAGGTCACGATGGCCCCATGGGCGCCTTCTCCGCGAAACGCCTCGTCAGTGCGGGACTACTGAAGGAGTTGGGTAATATGAGGGGGTTGGATATGAATCGTGCGGAACCGGCGATTGTGAACCGGACGAGGGAGGTCGTTCCTGGATTGATTATGACTGGTGCGTTTCTTTCTTGCCGCTACTGCCTCTTATTTGGTTTTTTGTCAAGTACTGTCTACTCATGAAATATTGACGTATCTGTAATGTTTAGGTATGGAACTCTCAGAGCATGATGGCTCAAACCGTATGGGTCCAACCTTTGGTGCAATGATGGCGAGTGGGATTAAAGCTGCCCATGAAGCTATTCGTGTGCTTGATAATTCGAAGGTTGTGAATGGGAAGATTGTTATTTGAGGTATTTGTTGAGTGTCTGGTATTGTGATGGAGGTGAAAAAAGGGAAATGTGGAATTTTAAACGTTAAATATCAAGTGCAAGTATTTACTGTATATACATACAGCCATTTCCAAATACAATGTCACATGCAGGTGTCACATGCTTTTGTCACACTTTTACTAAAAGTAAGAAAAACTAGACAAAAAACTTAATTTCTTTATAAATACAGGTGTTATATAGTTATTACAGTAAGTCAGAAATGGTAACCCTTAGAGTCAAACTCTATATACTGAGCACATGAGGACATGTGTTTTACTGTCATTTTCATAAATATTGTCACACGTGTGATTTGTGATTTTCGTCACACTAAGTATACTCAAATACAAAATCTATCATAACTCAACTAATACTTGACCAAATTACATGATCTAAGTTGTAAAAATTATACTTTTAAAGTGTCTTTCATATCCCAGAAAAAATAAAGTAAAATGAGCAAAATTTGAGTAAGATACAACACAATATGTGAGTTTTCCCTATATTTCATGTATATGAGTTTTCCTGGCCCTAAAACTGATTGTACAATACTATAAACTAGTCTAAATGAAGAATATAACTTTGTTGTTAATTTACATATTGAATCCTAACTAGGATACATGTTGGAACAGGGAGTTTTGGAATAGTACTAAGATATATGTACATATATGTACTCTCTTATATACTAGATACATTGTACTATACTAGTAAATGAGACATAAAACACAGTGTGTCAAATACTCCCCTTCAAGCCCTAATATTCTGTTGTTAATGTTGAAGACCTATAAGTTCTATTAGGTGCTTGATTTGAGGGATGTAGAGTGCTTTTGTAAGAATGTTTGTAAGTTGGTTCTAAGTTTGAGTATAACATATGTTAACATAGTTGTTCTGAACATAACAGTAGACAAAGTCCTTTTACAAATTAAGGTGTTTTGTTTAAGTATTGAAAGTGATCTCCTTGGATTTGACAGTTTGTATTTTTTAATAAGTGTAGCCAGAGTACCCCAAGTACTCTCTCTTATTAAGACATCAAGCAAGTGTCTACCTTATATACTATATAGTAAAGTCCAATAATCTGAGACATTCCAAGTACAGTAACTCTACATAAGGCAATTAGGGATTTCCTAATCCAGAGCACAATCTAATACTCTCCTTCAAGTATTAATTAAGAACTAGGACTGTATACTTAATAGTTTGTTTAGATGCTTGATCTGTAGAATATAGAGAGCTTTTGTAAGGATGTCTGCTAATTGGTTCTGTGATTGAACATAGCATACATTGATGTAATTGTTTTGAATGTAACATCACACAAAGTCTTTTTGTAAATCAAGATATTTAGTGTGAGTATTGTATGTTATTTTGTCAGACTTTACAGTCTTTATTACACCTTGATTATTACAATAAATTGTAATAGGTGCTAATTCAGTCTACAGTACTTCTTTAGCAAATCGTTTGAGCCAAATGGCTTCTTGAGTAGTATACACTAGTACTTGCAACTCTGTTTTGTAAACAGATAGTAGTACCAGGTTTTACTGTTTGCTTGACCAAGATATAGTTGATTTAGCTAATTGAAAGATGTAACTGTTTATTACTTTATGTCCTTCTGTCATTCATCTGTCTACATCATAATAGCCTTGTAGTTTTAAGATGTTTGTGCTTCCAAGTTGAAGCCAGCAGTTTGTTGTATATTTTAAATACACAAAGTAATGTTTCACTACTTTGTAGTAATATGTTTAGGGCTTTTGTAAGTAGTATACTAATTACTCAGTAATATAAGATATGTCTGACTGTGTACAGTCTACAACATATCTTAACAATCCTACCATATTCATGTATAGTGTTGTGTCATTATTACTTTCATTTGTATTGTATGTATTGTTTGTATTGTTAGATAGATCTATTCCAGGAGTAATAAGTGTTTGTAGTACCTTTTTGTTTTCAAAGTAGTAACACTTGATTATACTTTTAATATAATACTTTTACTATAAGCTAATTGTTTGTTAAGGTCTATCTCAGCTTATTTTAATACCAAGTAACTAATATATTTTGTTACTATTAGTAAATACAATGTGTTGTCTTAATACATGTTTAAATACTATTATTATAACAATAGTTTTGCTAATAATTGTAATATTGTTAACATACATAAATGTTACAAGAATTGTTTTATTATTTTGTTTCTTGTAAAATACAGTATGATTGTAATTAGCTTGTTCTAATCTAATCTTAAGCAGTAGTTCAGTAATCTTCTTGTACTATTGTCTACCTACTTGTTTCAATCTATATAATGCTTTATTTAAGTGTAACACTTGTCCAGGTTTAATATCTGTAAGTAGCCTACCTAGCAGCAGTTTCACATAAATGAGTTTGTCCTCATTTAGTTCTCTGTAAAGATATGTGGATTTTACATCTATCTGATGTATTTCATAGTTCTTAGATACTGCCCAAGATAACAATAATTGTACTGTTGATAGTTTTGTTACTAGAGCAAATAAGTTGTCAGAATAGAAGTCTATTCTATTCTTTTGAGTATATCCTTACACTACAAATTGTGCTTTGTATTTGTCTATTCAGCCATTAGCCAGTCTTTTGATTTTATAGACAAATTTTGTTCTAATTATATTTGTATTCATAAGGGGGATAGTATATATCCATACATTTTGTTGTTAAAGTGACTGTATTTCATCCTTCATAGCTTTGATCTACTGTTCTTTGTCTATACATGTTATAGTATTGTAATATGTTAATAGATTGTTATAGACTTTGTTGAGGAATTCATTAAATTCTGTTAGATACATAGTTAGGTTTATATTGTCTTTGTAATTTAAACCTATAGTTTGTTTAACCAGTCTTTACTCTTGTATAGAGTATTATATGACAGGTTCTTTATCTTTATTATTGTTATTAGGAAGAGTTTCATTATTTAATGTATCATTGTTATAATTATTCTCCCCTTCAATCCTAGACATTAGTTTGTCTATGAATTGTACATTGTGTTTGACAGTAATTTTATTATTATAGCACACTAAGTGACCTTTACTATTGTTATTATAACCTAGCCATTGTGTGTGTTGGCCTCTAGGTTGTAGTTTATGTGTTTGTTTGTTCTGTATAATACAATATACACTGAATTCTTGTATATTATCTATTTGATAATGTTCATTATACTGTTTGTAATATAGTGTTGTGAAATTAATAGTAACTCTCAGTGTTCTGTTATGAACAAACATTTGATATTATACTGTATATACCCAGAATTTCATAAGTAACTTTACTGATAACAGACACATATATATACTGTTAAAGATAGTCTTATACATATGTTCTGCAACTCTGTTTTACTACAGTATATTGTGTACTGTTAATCTATGTATTGTTCCTTGACTTTCAATGTATGTAGTAAAGTCTTTACTTAGGAACACTGTATTGTTATTACTTTAGAGAGTTTTAACTCTTATACTGTACTACATAAATAGTCTTATTATATACTTTACATATTCTGTGAAAGTATTGCTTTTATACTACATAGGTAGTATAGTTACCTATTGTGTAGTATTATCTATAATAGTAAAAAGATATTTGTACTTACTATAAGCTTGTACTAGAGCAGGTCCCTAAATATTAATATGGAGATAATCTCTATAAGATTGTGTAAGAGGTGTTGTTTGTATTTTTGGTATTTCATTACATTGTATATTTGCTTTAATACAATCTGTACACTATGCATTTTTATTATCTGTTATCCTTTAACTTATAATCTCAGGATACTCTTGTATAAGTTTGTACAAGTAATCAAAATTAACATGACCTATTCATTAATATAAATCAACAATAGTGATTACATTAATAGATTGTTTATTATGATGAGAAACTATCATATACAAGTTATTTTGTACATGTATTTCACTAATCTTTGTATGAGTAGGAGAATAAATAATACATTCATTGTTTGTTTTTGTTAAAACATATCCTACTTTATATAATAGTGCTTTACTAACAAGTGTGAAGTTCAGATTGGGATAATAGTATATGTTTTGTAGTGAAATTGTATTTACCTTAGTATGCTCATTAGCTTTGTCTTGTAGTTTTATGTTAAATGTTATTACTCTACTTTTGCTAAGTGTGAATAACAATTTATTTATAATTGTAACATTTATTAGGGTTGAGTTCTAAACGTTTGTAAGACAGAACAAGTATAGAGTAGTGTGTACATTTGTACTAGAGTCTAATATATTAATACAATGTATTAGTTTAGTATTATTGTAACATATTATATTAATACATATGTTTGGATTGTAATTGAACTCCTTAATGACTTCTTTTATATTGTCAAATGAGTTCATAAAGTTGTCTACTTGTATGACACTATCCTCTTATACTTTAAATACTGAAAATATGTTAGATTTAGTAAATAAAGCAGATTCAGTAGATAGAGTAGATTGAACAGGTAAGCTGCTAGAACTTAATACTAAGGCTTCTACAATTGTAGACTCTAGTATTAGTGTTTTATTAATGTCTTTAATGAATACTGTTTTGTTATTGTCTCTAATGAATACTACTATATTAAGTGTAGGTTAAGACAGTATAGTAGTAGTAGTAGAAGTAGTAACTGTTTACCTATACTTTTTCTTTCTAGCTTCTATTGTTTTACTTATTAGAGAGTTTCAGTAGTCTTTTAACATATGTCTGTACTTATTATAGTTGTAGTATTTAACTTTATTATAAGGCTTTGTTTTGCCTTTAGCTACACTTTTGCCTTTTGTTTATAGACTGTCTCATTTAGTATCTTGTTTTGTTTGAGAGTACTAAGAATAATACTTAGTATATGTGTTTTATAATTTGTATATCAACTTAGCTAGTATTAGAACATCTTTCTAAGCTACTATAACTATTAATAGTTGATTATAATAGGTAATCTGCCTGTCTAGTATTGTTACTACCTATCTATACTTACAAGGAGTAGTAAGGTTAATTGCTAAGATGTATGTATTATTATTAGGGACTTTATTATGTGTAGACAACTGTCTATAGATTTGTTCAATATTGTCTAACATCTTATTAAACTGTAATATATACTCTTTTACTATAAACAACATAAATATGTCTACAGTATATGTTATTATTGTTTGAATGTTGTATTGTTCAGAAAGCACCTTT